TACAGGTGCCCTCCACAATGCCTGGCTATTTTTTAGAGAGGAGGTTCCACTCTTGCTCATGATGGTCTTGAACTCCTGAGCTCAAGGAATCCACCTACCTTGGCCTCCCAGAGTGCTAGGATTACAGGCATGAGTCACTGCACCTGGCCTTAAGGTCAAATCTTAGATTGTTTATTTGAGAGCTTTCTAGCATAGAGCATGTAATGCTATACAATTTCTGTTAGGTGATGCTTTACCAGCATCCACAAAATTTGGTCTATAGTATTTTAATTTTAATTAAATTCAAAATATTTTATTATTTCCTCTGAGATGTTCTTTTTGACTCATAGGTTATTTAGAAATGTGCTTTAAAGTCCTCCAATTTGGGAATTTTCCAGATAACTTTCTGTCTTTGATTTCTCTATGGTCAGAGAACATACTTTTATATGTATTATAATTATAATATTATAATTTTAATATTTTGAATTTATGGAGGTTTGTTTTTACCACTGTATGGTCTATTTTGTTGAATGTTTCTTTTTTTTCAAATGTTAAACAAAATTTATTAAGGAAGAGAAAGACAGGTTTTCAGAGGAAAAACATTTACAAAGCCAGGTACATCTGCCACAACAAAAAGGCCTTGTTGGGTGTTTCAAATGCATTTAAAAAGAAAATGTATTTTGCTGTTGATAACAAAGTGTTCTATAGATGTCAATCAGGTCAAATTCTTGATAGTATTGTTTGAGTCTTCTATATTTTGGGTATTTTTTATTTGTTCTATTCATAACTGTGAGTGGAGCATTGAGGTCTCAAAGTATAATTGTACCCCTGTCTAGTTTTCTATTGTACCCCTGTCTAGTTTTCTTTTCTGTTCTACCTGCTTTTACTTCATGTGTTTTGAAATTTTTTTGAGGTATATGCACATTTAGGAGATTTGTATGTTTTTGGAGAATTAACCTATTTATAACAATATAATTTCCTTTTTTATCATGAGTAATTTTTCTAGTCCCAAAGACTGCTCTTTCTACTATTAAAGTAGCCATGCCAACTTTCTTTTCAGGCATGTTTGCATGCTGTATCTTTTGTCTCTCCTTTACTTTCAATCTATCTATAGTATTACATTTAATGTGGGTTTCTTATAAACAGCATATCCATGTGTCTTTTAAAAATTCAAACTGGACTGATAGTTCTCTCTTTCAGCATTTAAAAAAAATTGAAATATACATCCAGTCTCTTCTGGCTTACATGGTTTCTGATGAAAATTCTGCAGTCATCTAAATCATGTGCAAATATGTAATGTGTTGATTTTCTCGGACCCCTTTCAAGAGTTTTTCTTTCATATTTGATTTTCGTCAGTTTAATTGCAATGTGTCTGGAATGGTTTTATTTGAATTTTTCCTCTTTAGGATTCATGGAACTTCCTAAATTCTAAATTTGTATATTTCATCACATTTTGGAAGTCTTCAAATATTATCTCTTAAGTATTTTTCCCCCTCCTCTTATACTCTTTCCCCCACAAGATCACCTTTTCCTGTCACTGTGGACAGGAACAGAAAGGGGATTTCTCTTGGAGCTTTTTCTGTTGATGCGTGTTGCACAGTTTTGGAAATTGGTCTTTCCTGGAGCCAGGAGATATGAGAGGGGGGAAATACAGAAGATTTTGCCACTACATTAGCTGTTCTTTGAGTTTTGATTTTCCTTTCCAATTTGCCTTCTATAAGTTATTTTTCATAGTCCTCGTGTATGTATGTCATGATTCTGTTCAGGGTTTTTAGTAATAATCAGTGAGAGAAATAAGGAGGAGTGTGCTCACTTCATCACGCCAGAGCCAGAAGCTGGAAGAGTTACTTTTCTTTCAGTGAAGCTGAAAAGAAGAAATGTCAGCCTCCATGACTTGCAAATAAAGGAATAGGCCTATTAATTTGACTAGAGATTCTTTTAGGGACTAGACGGACACAGGGGGCTGTAACAGGTTGGTGCCTGTCAGTAAAGCACTAGAGGCAAAGCTCTTGGGAATGTGTCTCTCTGACTTACCATGCTTCATTATCTATTGATATCTGAAAAACAATTTTATACTAAAGAATCCATGCAGTGTATATTAGAATATTAATAAAGGGATTTGGAATATAGAAAATCCATTTGATTTAATACAAAGTAGAACAAATAGAAGATAAAAGGCAAGATGATTGTAATTGTGTTTTATGCACTTTGTAATGACAACTGGATAAATAATAGGCCCAAAAATGAACAGAGTTATATAAAGGTTAAAGTGATAGTGTTAGGGAGCATAAAGCATGTGAGATCATGGGTGTCTTACTGTTTAATTTTTCAAAAATCCCCCTAGTATGGTTCTTATGGTTTGAATGTCCCTCCAAAACTCATGTTGAAGCTTAATGCTCAATGTGGCAGAACTGAAAGGTGGGATCTCTAAGAGAAAGTTGATTTGGGGGGATTAATTATTCATAGATTAATAGGTTAACACATTAATGAGTTATGGGAGGGAGACTGGTGGCTTTATAGGAAGAAGAAGAGACCTGAATGACCTCTCTCGGCCCTGTCGCTGTGGGGCTGCCCTTTGCCACCTTGGGACTCTGAAGGGTCCCCACCAGCCAAGAAGGCTCTGTCCAGATGTGCCCCTCTACCTTGGACTTTGCAGCCTCTGCAACAGTCAGAAGGAACTCCTTTTCTTGATGAATTACCTAGTTACATGTATTCTGCTATAAGCTACAGAAAATGAACCAAGACAGTGGCTCTTCTATCTTTTCAAATGTAATAAGATGTAAGAATAATTCCTGGCCTATTGCCCAATAATCATGTTATTCCCTATCCTATTTCTGTGTCCTGTTTGGGAAGGCTCTCCTGATTTTCTCTTCTTGCCCTAACTGTTCCTGCTGTGTTCTCCTGTGCCACTGCTTCCTCCCAGCCCAGTACTGATGGCATCCTACTGTAATGCTTCAATTCGCCATCTTCTCTGGTAGACATGGGCTTGTCTGTAGGAAGGGAAGTGTATTTTCTTGCTTACTGATATATCTTTACTGCCTAACTAGTACCTGATCTGTGGTAGGTACCTAATATTTATGGTCTAAATATGCAAGTCACCAAGCAAAATAGAAAACCCAAAAGCAAAGCTTTCTCTTTTATACTTTATTTGGCTCTTTTGGTCTCAGACTCTCTTGGTACCCACATGTCACTTTCTCTCCATACTGACAAAACACTGTCCACATTCTCCAGTCAAACCAAAGCTGGATGTCATGGTGCACTGAGTGGGCAATTAACCAAAGGAGAGATCCAGTGATGAAGAAATATTCAGCAGGGTAGGAAACTCAGAACTCAGGTTCAGGTGAAGGCTGCCTTTTTCAAGAAGGATTAGAGAAAACCCAAGGGGTTACAGCTGAAAAGATTCCAGTGGTGCTGGAAGGTCCAGAGTCTTTCCTCTCTGGTTCTTCTCCTTCTATGACATATGAAATTCAAACACAACAGTGCTAATTCAGGTGCATTTTCATTTACTTATGAGCACTGTGAGTGTATTTCATTCTGGAGGTAGGTATAGGGAATTGGCCAAACAACAAGCTGTGCGTTCCTATGGCAGGCTGCAAATTGCTCCGGCCAAGACGACTCTAGCATGTAAGGCTTAGCCAGAGCCCTTACACATAGCTATTCTAAACAGCTTCCTACACAACTGACACTTAGATTTCCTTAAGGACAGTCAAGATGAGTAATCACTCAGCCTTTGCTTGGGCACTTTAAGTGATGGTGCACTCCCCATCTTTCAAGGTGGCTCATTACATTTTCAGATGAAGCTCTTCTGGATATGGCAAACATGAGGTACACGTGCTGATACTTGCATTTCCACACCTGTGGCAGACATCACCAATTAACCCCAATGGTTTTTCCCACCAACCCTAGGTTTAGCTTCAGAATCATTCTCAATATTGTTTTTCATTTGGATAGAGTTCAGTTTGCAGTCCCTGCCCCAGTTCTGGTAAAGTTGTTTCTCCAGGTCTTCCAGACACTGGTCTCCTGCATGTTGTCTGTGAGCACACAAGGGTTTCACAGTCAGAGGTGAACACTGTGTCTGCCCTGGAAGTCCTGAGCCCATGCCTTAGACACAGCCTGGGAAGGGCAAGACCTAGACCCACAAGGCAGAACCAAAGGTTGGTAGCAGGCATTTATTAGTTGGCATGAAGAGTCTCTCCACTGAATCCTGACAGTCTATTTCCAGGGCCAAACCCAGGGGTCATGGAAGCACCAGGATCCAGGCTGAGGGCAGGTCAAGGCTGCTTATTATGAGGTTGGGACTACAACCTCAGTCTGTGATTTCTAGTCCATTGGTCCCATATCAGATTAAATTAGTTTTCTTTGAGAAAGTGTTCAAATATTAATGCTATTGTTCCAAGCTCATTTTGAAACCATGGTCAAGTCATGAAATGGGCAGGTCATGGTCAGTACAGAGGAATGCTGTGTTTACTGAAACACAGGGGAATTCTTTCAGGCTTCTTGAAGAGTCTGGGAGACTTAGCTGTAAATAAAGCCAAAATGATTGTGATAATACATTGGCACAGGTTTATTTTTAAATACTGAATAAGACTGGCTTCAATCAGTTTAAGCCTCTTGAAAATGGGGAAGCTTTGGTTTCCTGAAATGGTGATGTCACCCATTTAGATGACCTTGTTTGGGACATGATTGTCCAATGTAGAGGAGGACTCAGGTTCAGGCCCTCCATTCATCTTATCATCGGTAACCGCCGAGTCAATTTTTTCCTCTGGTGGATGTGCTTTGTTTCTTTTGGCAAATGCTTGGCTGATTTCTGCATGCGTTTTGTTTTTGGTCTCGGGCAGGACAAAATAAAGGTAGACAGCACCTGTGATACAAATTGTAGCAAAGACGAGGAAACAGTAGGTGTCCAGACTTTTCTGTGGAAAGGCAGAGACAAAAAAACATCAAGTAGAATATCAGTAAACCGTGAAACCATCTCCGAACAAAACTTTTCTGTATAGCTTCCCCATTCACATGTCAATACTTTTGGACCAAGCACCATATGCGACGCTGGCTCCGCATGACACACTCTCATGTGTCATCAATAAATGAGCTTCACACTTGTGAAGATGGGGAAGTGCAGTCTTTATTATTGTGATTGTTTTTTGTCACTTACCTGGGAGTGCTTAGGACCAAGATGTGTACCTTCTATAATATCTGTCGATAAAGATTTCCTGAGCAGTGTGCAGGACGGGGAGGATATGGCTCTGTGGTCAGTTGTGTGGGATTCAAACCCTGGCTCCGTCACTCACCTGCTGAGCCAACACTTGAGATGTGCCAGCTAAGACAGAACTTCAATCCAGGAGCATCAGTTTCCTCATCTGTAATACTGTGAAGTGCACCCACATGTGGTTTTGAAGAAGAAACGAGATCTATCCAACTTTGCACTCAACACCCCTGGCCCTCCACCTGCACACTGAATGGGCATCTGACTCACCAAGTCCACACGGAGCTCCTCCCCCGGCGCTCCCCCCTCCCCCTCCTGCTCTCATCTACCCCATTGGCGGTACCCCAGCCTTCTGCCTGCTTAGGCCAACCAGAACACTTAGATACTGGCTGAGGTCCTCCTGCGCACACGTCTGCTCTATCAGGAAACCCTGTGATGTTGTCCTTGAAAGATATTCTGAGTCACAGCACTTGTCACCACTTCTACTGCTGCCATTGTGGTGCAGGAGCCGGGAGGTGAATGAGGAGACTCCCAGGGGCTCCCACCCTGATTGAATTACTGCAGTACCTTCTCGACTGGTTTCCCTGCTACTGCCCTGTCCCCTTAAGATTATTCTCAGGAGACAAACTACAGCTATCCTGTTATTCGTCTATTCAAAGCCCACTGTGACTTTCTAAGTCACGCTGAGTAAAGCCAAATCCTAACAAATGCTCCCCACAGCCTTGAAGGTCACCAGCCACGTGGATCCTCTTGCTTCTCTGACCCCACGCTCCTCACCTTCTCTGCACTGCCTTCATGGCCCCCCACCCCGACCTGGTGCCTCAGGGTTTTGCACGTGCTGCTCCCTTTTCCTGGAATACTCCTCTAGAGACATCTGTGCCACCTCCTTCTCACTCCCCTTCATTTTGGCATAAAGGTCACTCTCTCAGAATGACCCGACCCTCCTTTCCAGACCCCCGTCTTGTTCATTGTTCCTCAAAACACTCTCTGCTATGTAGCATTGTGACCTATAACTACCGCACTCTAACTCTCTCCAGCCAAGAGCTCAGCCATCTGAGGCAGGGCGTCAGTGTTCTTGAATTCCCAGGACCCAAGAGCACCTGGCACACAGTGGATGCTCAGTAAGCTCCCAAGCATGTGACCGGGGAGGCTCGCAGGGGCTCCCTGCCCTGCCCCAGCCACAGGCAGTGCTGCCTAGGGCCTCACCAAGCAGTGGCCGCTCAGCTTCCTTTCCCAGGGCACCTGCTGTGTGTCATTAGGATTACCTCCAGAGTTTCTCAGAATTCACTCAAGAACCCCTTCCTACTGCTGCCCTCCTGGGAAGGGAGGCTTGTTCCCTCCCTCAGGAGTCTCAGGAGCAAAGCCATGATAAGGCCTGAGTGAGAAACTTGACCTCTCAGACCAGTGGTTCTCAACCTGTGGGTTGCAACCCCTTTGGACTATATTAAAGGTTTGTGGCATTAGGAAGGTTGAGAACCACTGTGACCTAGACACAGATTCTGTCCCCCTGGTTTCCAGATACAAATTCCTGCTGGGTCTCTGCTATGATCTGAATGTGTCACCCCAAATTCATTCATTTCAACTTAAAATTTAATGTGGTGTTATCTAGCAGGGGCCTTTACGAAGAGACGGGATAGAGCCCTCATGAATGATGCCTTATAAATGCTCTGGGGGACTGTCTGGGTCCTTATGTCCTTCCTCCAAGTGAGGACATAGCAAGGGGTGCCGTCTTAAAAGCATAGAGCAGGCTTCACCAGGCAAAGAGTTTGCTGGCTACTGACAGCTGTCTCACAGCTTTCATAAACCTTCTGCTCCTTATTCATTACCCAGTTTGTGGTATTTTGTTACTGCAGCACAAATGGACTCAGGCAGCCCCTTCCCGCCAAGGCACCTCTGGCAGGTGCACACCCACCAGTTCTCCTACCAGGTACGCAGACCAGGAACTGTGAGCTGGTACTGGCTCAGCACACAAGGGGCCTTGGTAGAAGTGTGCTGTGAGGTGGGCTTCAGGAGGAAGGGAAAGGAAGGACAGCAAATGAATAGCACTGGCTCTGCCCAGACGAGGGCCAGGCCTTCTACAGGCACACTGTTTCTGCCTCTGAGAAACAGGCCCACTGGATCCCTCTTTACAGAAGAGGAAATCTAGGCGGAGTGAGGTCATGTTACAGGCCCAGGGTGGCACCGTCAGGAAGTGGCAGGGCTGGGGCAAAGCTTTAAGGCCACACTGCCCCTCATCGGATGTGGCGTGGGCTGGGGCCAGGAGGGCAAGGCTGCAATACCAGTCGTCGGGTTTGCTGATTCCTTGCTGTGCTGTGCTGTGACTGAGATAACATTCACTCCAATGCTATGGACTGCTTTACAGATGAGGAGACAGAGAGGGGCGAAGTTACCTGTCCAGGTTTTGGGGTATGAGGCAAATGTAAGTCTCGGATCTGGAGCCGCCTTCAGTCTGTGTTCATCGTGTTGTGGTCACCGCTCACAGAGTAAGGACCAGAGAGCAACAGAGAGTCTTGGCCACAGAGTCATGGGGAAAAAACACCCCAAACTGAAACCTTCAGGCTACTCCAAACCCAGAAGTTCAAACACAATGGGCCAGAGCTGGGCAAGGACAGATGGGATAGTGTGGATGGAAAGAGCAGAAGGGCTTTGGGGCTGTCTCAGGAGCTGGAAGGGCCAAAGGATGTTTGTCTATATCTGCTAGAGATGCTTCTGTGCAGGGTTCACGTGGCAGCCTGAAGTTGTTGCAGGTATGTGATTGTACTGAGTCTGGGAAGAGAAATGCACTTTTCAGCACCTCCTGTATGTCAACAATATTACAGACATTCTATCATCTGACCCCCCTCAGCTCACACTGTGATATACTTATTTTTATTTTCATTTTATAAAATATGAAACTGGGGATTTGAGAGGCTCTGAAACAGCCAAGGCCATGGTTGGAAAAAAAATAGGAACATCATGCCAAAGCCAGCTCTCTCCACGTTCTCTCACGGCTCCCTCGCTGGTGTGTGTCTGGGCTGGTGGTGAAAGGTCACTGGGACCCTGCAGTTCTCCCAGGGCTCTAGCACCCTCTCCCACATGAGAATGGGCGGGTCATTGGCCTGAGGTCACCAGCTGGTAATGGCAGCTGGATTTGAACCCAGGGGAGCCTAATTTCAGAGACAGTCGTCTCACTTTGGCATCTGCCCCCCTTGTGTAGATTCAGAGTGTGTCTCAGAAAGAGTCTTTCTTCTGTCCCCTCTTCTACTTCAGAATGACTCAGCAGCCCACAGAGCAAGTTATTTAACCAATCCTAAGTCATTGTTGGGGAGGGGCTGTCCAGTGACCCCCAGCCAGAAGTTTTTAGACAGCATATCTGCTGAGGGGAGGAACAAAGAGGACTTGGCAGACCCGGATTCCAGGTCTGGCTCCGGCAGGAATGCAGCCATCACGTGACTCTGGGACACCCCATCATCTGGGCCTTTTTTCCCCATTAGTAAAATGGGCATGCTCACATTCAAGGTTTTCTGTGAAAGAACTTTTACATTCATTGAACTTAGCCCATAAATGAAAAATTGATAAATTTGGCTGCTTAAAAACTAAGAGTATCTTTTCATCAAACAGTACCGTATAGAGACTACAAGAGCAGGGAACGGGGAGGAGGAATTGTGATACATAACTAACAGAATTAGCACCCAAATTGAAAACAACCCAGAAAAACTTCTCATGAGCCAGGAAGAAAAAAGACATTCTGACAGAAAAAAAGGAGCAGAAATGCAGTTCAAGCCTTTCACAGATGAGCTGAACCCACAAATGGCAAATAAGTCCATGGCAGGGGCTCCGTGTTCTTGGCCATGTTACAGCCTCAGTGATTTATTATCATTCCTCATGGTTCAGACTGGTAAGAATGTCTCGCAATGACACACCACGTGTGATGACGAGTGGGACTTTTCCCCCAGCTGGTGAGGCTGTGACTAGCTACAATTACTTTGGAAAATGACTTCACATTATACTGAGAGGTGAAGTTGTGTGTGTCTCATGACCCAGAAATTGTACTTCTGAGTACAAACCCCGGAGCTGTGCTATTTAAATTTAAATCAACTAGAAAGAGTTTTTGAGATAGGGTCTTGCTCTGTTGCCCAGGCTAGAGTGCAGGGAAGCAATCATAGGTCACTGTAACCTTGAACTTCAGAGTAGCTAGAATTATAGGTATGTATCACCACATCTGGATAATTAAAAAAAAATTTTTTTTTGCAGAAATAGGGTCTTGGTATGCTGCCCAAGCTGGTCTCAAATTCCTGACCTCAAGCAATCCTTCCACCTTAGTCTCCCAAACTACCAGAATTAGAGGTGCGAGCTACCATACCTGGCCTCAGTCAAAATTAGAAATTCATTTCCTCGGTTGCAGTAGTTCACCTCAGTTTCAGGTGTTCAGTGGTGACACTGCAGAGCTTAGACCACAGTGGCCTCCTCACACCATCCCTTGCACATTGCACAAGGATTTGCAAAGCAACACAGTTTGTAGAGCAAAACAACCGGACACAGCTCAGATGCCCCCGGAGATGGGGTGGATAAGTAAATTGGGATACTGTCCTCTAAAGGAGTGCCACTGTCCGTGACAAACAATGAGTGGTATAACTCTACGTACCAACACTGTGGCTCCCAAAACAAATGAAGAGAAAAACAGCACAGAAGATCAGATGCTCTTCTGTAAATATACAAATTAGGCAAAAC